GATTTCAATAGTACTAGTTATGTGACCTTTTGGGAAGTCTAAATTGAGGATTTTGGCTTCATATTGGATTTTGAAGGTGATTGAAAAAGAGTGTAAATGTAGTATGGAGATTTGAAAATGTGGTCATTATAATCAAGTTTTGGGTATTCATTAGCATTTGCATATATCTTTGTTGGATGTTGATTAGGCATGATATTTAATGCTTAAGTATATTGTTGAATTATGAAAATTTGTGTTAAGTGAAGTTGTAAGTAGGAAGAAGTTAGTAAAGTTTGAGAATTTACAATCCTAAATTGAGAGTCATTTTTTCTTTATGATGGAAAATTCTTTCATAAATTTTCTTAGACTTTTCCTATGCTAATCTATTAATCATTTTGCTTGAAAACCATTTTGTTTTCGTGAGCCATTGTAAACTAGAGAAAGGGTTAGAGTTGACTTCAGTTAACTTAAACCTTAATAAATAGTTTATATGATACACCTGAAAAGAATGTTAACTTTTGAGGTTAAGGCAATTGAGTTATAAAGAGTCTGATGAAAAATGGCCATTGTACTTTTTTAGAAAAGTGACATTTGTGCCTTGTTTCTATAGTATTATGCTTAGTAAGTTGCACTTTACATTTTGTTAGACTCTATAAGAGTAGTGAGCTCTCATTAATCTTGATTTAGTCTTGGTGACTTTACTCCTTAGTATATCCAACATAGTTGTTTGCAGTTGATATATTAGTACCTATAATATAGTATTGTTCATTAAAAGGTTATGTACCATATGAGTCCATTTCATGATCTTCAGTTTAGTTTTAGCTGGGTGTTGATCATGCATAGTTAGCCTCTTTTGATATGTTCAGAGCTATTGGCTAAACACATTAATGAGCTTATTATAGTTAAGTTAGACTTGAGTAGTCATTTTGTTTGTACTTATCCATGTTCATATATATGTATGTATATATGTATGTATGTATATGTATGTATGTATGTATATATATGTGTGTATATATGTATATATATGTATGTATGTATGTCTGTATGTATATATATATATATGTATGTATATATGTATGTATATGTGTATATATATGTGTATATATGTGTATATATATGTATATATGTATATGTGTATATATATGTATATGTATATGTGTATATATGTGTATTTATATATGTATGTGTATATGTATGTATGTATGTGTATATGTATGTATATGTATATATATGTATATGTATATATATATTGTACTTAGAGAGTTACCTTTCCATTGGATAAATATATGATTTGATGACACGAGTGTAATGTTTGAGTTTTACAAAGTTGAGATGAAGAGTGATTATTGGTTTCTTTATGACTAATGATTATTTGTAAACTTTGTTGAGGACTATTAACACTTTTTTTGTTTAATAATAATCTAGCAGTGATGAGTTTGTTTTACCAAATGGTATTGTTGAGGATCATATCATTACCCTTATATAGTTTT